ATATTCAGAAATCAGAGAAAAGAATTATCCTGCTTTTCTCCAAGAAACTATGGGTATAACATCATGTGGTTTTTTTAAAGATTTTATTTATTTGTTTGACAGAGAGAGACACAGCAAGAGAGGGAACACAAGCAGGGGGAGTGGGAGAGGGAGAAGCAGGCTTCCTGCGGAGCAGGGAGCCGGATGCGGGGCTCGATCCCAGGACCCCGGGATCACGACCTGCGCTGGAGGCAGACGCTTAAGGACTGAGCCACCCAGGCGCCCCTGTCATCATGTTTTTGATCTACCACAGAAACTATGGATTATGTTTATTTTAGAATCACTCTTATATGCTACATAATAAATGTCTTGCTTATGTGTTTGTTTGTTTGTTTGTTTGTTTTTGTCTTGCTTGTGTTTTAAGTAGATTTCAGTGCTTTTTCCTTCCATCACATTTGGAATCAGGGCCTCAAAAGTGGTGCAGGCAATAATACTTCAAAGACAATTAGATTGCATCTTTATTTGTGAGAAAACACTTCATTTCCAAGTTTTAATTGAGTGTTCCTTCTCCGATTTGTAGTGCCTGATTCATTTTATAGGTATGGAAATTTACCCCGCCCCATTCTTTTTTTGTTGTTGTTTTAAAGATTTTATTTATTTACTTGAGAGAGAGAATGAGAGAGAGCACATGAGAGGGGGGAGGGTCAGAGGCAGAAGCAGACTCCCCGCCGAGCAGGGAGCCCGACGCGGGACTCGATCCCGGGACTCCGGGATCATGACCTGAGCCGAAGGCAGCCGCTCAACCAACTGAGCCACCCAGGCGCCCAACCCCGCCCCACTCTTGAACACACTTCTTTACCTCCTCCATCAAATTCTTCGAATGAGACCGCCTGGGCGCGGGTCTAGAGCATCCCTGCATCGTAGCAACCAGATTTCAGCTTCCTTTGTCACCATGGTGACGGCTGTGCCGGGCCAGGTGTCGCTATGGTAACTAGGGGCGGGTAGTAGGGGCCCCGGCGGGCAGGGCGCATGCGCGCGGGGAAGCCTAGCTGCGCCGCGAGCGCGCGGCCCCTCAGCTCCCCTCGTCATGGCGCTGAGGCGGCGGCCGGCGGTCCGGCTCTGCGCCCGGCTGCCCGACTTCTTCCTACTACTGCTTTTCAGGGGTGAGTGTGCGTGTTTCTGCCTTTGGGAGAGGAGGACCTGGGGCGGATGGGAGTTGAGCGCAGCGGCTGGAATCGGTCCGGGCGGGAATAGCGGTCCCGGCTCCAGGCGAGCGGGGGACTCGGCCGGAGGAGCGGCGCGCGCCCGCGTCCCGGCGGAAAGGGGTCGATGCGGGGCCTCCAGGCGGCGTCCCAGCCGGGTGGGCGCGGGGGTGCGAGGGGCCCGTGAGAGGCCCGGGCAGCTCGCTCCGGGCGGTGGGCTGGTCCCCGGGCAGAGGGTACATCTCTCTGGAAAGACGCTGGCAGCTTAGGCGTGGGCTCGGAACTTGCTAGAAGACACTGCGGAGCGAGCGCCTTGCCCAGAAGTGGATGGTGGGGGGCCTCCCGAAGTACCAGCGAGGCACAGCTCTGAGGCCCGTCTGTCTTCTTGGTCCTAGCCTTCTGGGGGTCTGCTGTTCATTTCTCTCTTGCCGTGAACAAAGGAACTGAATTGGGCAAACCCAGCTTTACTTCGGGGGAAGTAAAATGGCACAGATCTCAATCAAGTATCCTTTTTGTCTCCAGCCTGGCCTAGGAGACCCCACAGACCTTTACCCGGAAGGAGCATCTGGGCCGTTTTGATCAGGTCACACTGACAAACCTGGGAGTTTATTCTTTGCCACTGTCTGGAATTCTCTTAGATTTGTGTGTCCCAGGACAGTTGGACGGGACTGAAGTAGATTGTATTTAGTGAGCATGTGCTGTATAGTGGGCACTTTGAAATCTTTATCTCATTTAGTGCTTACAAGAACTTTGTGAGGTGGATTTTATTAACCCATTTCCAGGTAAGAGAACTAAGACTTACGTCTCCTTTCCAAGACAGTGTTCCAAGTGAGTTCTGACTCGCGTTTCCATAAAGCACTACCACACTTCTGTGGTGGACATCCGCAGGTAACCAGATCCGTAGAACCATCCGAAGGGCTTTTCAGTTCTTAGGTCATTTTATTGTTTGGCTGAGTTGCCGTTGTCATCCCATGATGTTTTCCAAAATATACAAATTAAAGCACAAAGTGACTGGGAGTGGGGGTGGACAGACTGGGAAAACAAAGCACTCCTGTGTTTGATGTTCATTCTTGTGGGATGTTCGTAATGGTGGTAGATAAAAGTGAGGGTCTGAGGAGCTGTGGAAACAGGACTCTATGATGAGGGATCAGTTTCAGGGTATAGATGTTGTCCATATACTTTGCCTGAAAGTGATTTCCAAAAACATGTGGTTGGGAGATATAAATGATCAAAGGCTAGCCAGGGGACAAGGGTGTCAGGAATGTCCAGCTCCCGGCTTTGTTGGTCACACTGACACTGTCCTATTCACAGATTGGAACAACTCTCTATTGTTGAAAAGTTCTGTTCACATGAAAGTTTGCAGTTTTTATTGCAGACACATTTGGCAATTTAGTTTAGGAATGAATTTCAACTTGGTGGCTTGTTAATAAAACTAAAGAAGATGCTAAGGACCTCGCATACCCTTAACTTTATTTTGCTTTCCTGGAGGTGCAGGTTTTGTGGCTTTCTTGATATTAAGGGCTGGGATTTACCTGCAGAGCATAGGAGGAAGCATAAAATTTTGCAAAATAGGGCTGATGACTATCACTTTGAGAGGATGCAGCTTTTTTTTTTTTTTAAGTAGGGAGCTCTTTTTCTGTTATTTTGTATGTACTCTAAACATACTGTAATACCTTGAAAACTTTATTCTTTCACAGGTCATGATAGCTGTGTCTTTTTTATTTATATGATTATTCTTTTCAATTACTATTATTTTTCAGCATTGTCATCTAAAAAATTTGTTCCTGATATAACACTTTTTTTTATTAGCCTTTGCCAGGCTCTGTTATAACAATTTAATATGTATTCATTTCATGTTGATAACAACTCTCAGGTTGTTACTATTATTTTGCCCATTTTGTGGATGAAGAAACAAGTACAGAGAGATTCAGTAACTTGCTCAGGGTGATAAACCCATGCATTTTAAATTTAGAAATCTTGAACTATTTTTGTTAATCTAATTTCTGGTTACTTGTATTGCATTTGACAGTGGATTTCTTGTTATGCACCAGTTTAACAAATCATCAAATGTTCAAAGCTGTGTGGTTTGTACATAAAATATTCTTTTGTTGTATTGGTAACAGGTGCAGTTCAGCCTTACAAATGTTACACCACATGTCTTTTTTGAATGATTATGTAGTAATTACTTTTTGGTTTCCAAATCTTTTGATGTCCTAGAGAGAAGTGCTTCATTTAGAATTAAAACAGTAACAGTTTGTATTCTTGGGATAAGACAACTTGTGTGCTAAAGTTTAGCAAAATCTGAAAATTAAAACTTCCAGGAAAATTTTTGAAAAATATTCTAAAACATTTTTTAGAATGATTTATTTTATATTGTTTTAATTCTTTTTAAATTATCTGGCAGATATAATCACTATCAGATGTGTGTGTGTGTGTGTGTGTGTGTGTGTGTTCAGAAAAACAAAGAACACCTGCCCTGTGGCATGCAGTTCCTCAAATCAGCTGTTCATTCCCAAAAGACTTGTTGATAGGCATTTCTTCTTGAGTGCTTCAGGCTGCCGAGACTGAATGGATAGCTATTAGAAATACTTATGAATCCTAAGTAATTGCAGTATTACATCCAGACAAAATTATCCTCCCCCCAGCCCCTAAGGTCTATGTAACTTGCTCTTAAGGAGGCCCAGTAGGCTAGGCTTAGAAGAGTTTCTTTGAAAGAAACCATATTTGTAATTAAGCACACTTTCTGACATGGACATATAATGTAACTGAAGGAGCTATGGATTTAGTATATCCAGCTAGCAGCTGTTAGAGATGTGATATTGGCAGATTCCTTCTCCATAAATTCTTTGAATTTTTTCAGAGCACAAGTGGGGTAAAAGAAAAGAAAATATGCGTGTGAATGAAGTTAGATGTATGGAGTCTGTTGAATGAGACACTTCATGAAGCTGGATTCCCTTTTTAAGTTATGTTTAGAATCAGGTGGTGTGAGTGTGATGTTGTTAGGGTTGAATACAGATTTCAGATCTTCTTTCTCTACCCTCTGAATGCTAACCATATATGCAAATAGCTTCACTGGAGTATAAAGAGATCCTGAAAGAACGTTTTGGTAAGCACATTCTTTTACACCTAGTTTAGCAAGGACAGTATCCACTATGGTACTGTATGTGGAGATCTAAAGCCTTAATTTACTGCCTCTTTGCCACTTGTCATGATATACAGAAAGCTTCCTGAGAATTAGCCTTTGTTTCTGATTTAAAGGAATGCTGTAGTATTTTGTGTTCATGTGTTTTCTTTGTTTTTAGGTAGTATCTATTATGTTATATATTGTATTTCCCATGAGTAGTTAGTGTATATTCAACAGGGGTTTCAATGCTGATTGTGTAGAAACATCAAACTGTTTAATAAATTAAGACTATACAAACACTTTTTTCTTATGTTATCTTTCATTTTCACAGAATCCCAAAGCTTCTATGGTTCAGCCTTCTTTCTGTAAATTATTGCCAGAGTCACATTCTGCTGTATTCATGCCGCTACTCTGCCTAACCTAACCTCAGCTCGCAGTGACCTTTCCTATTTCCATAGAAGCATAGCTCTTCGTTTGTAGTTCAGTTTAGTCCAACAGTCATTTCTTGAGTATCTGTTTTATGCCAGGCACTGTTTTTCATGCTAGAGCTGCAGAAATGAATAAAATATCCCCAGCTCTAGAAAAGCCAGGACCGTTGTATGCTAGGTTTCAATTATTGGGTGTAAATATATTTTATCTTCTCAGTGGTATTAAAAATTCATTGGGAACAGAGGCTGAATTTAATTTCTTTTGTATCTTTCCAGATACGACTATAGTAAATATTCTCTTTGTTACTTGCAAGTCAGTTAACTGTCTTAAAAACTTCCTATGTGTCTAGGCATTTTTCATGTATTTTAGCTCTAGTGGCCCCAGGAACTTTGGAAATTCTCAGTTTTTACTAAAGTAGTTTCTGTGAAAGAAAGCAAATGGTATTTCTTGGTTTAATTAAAAATCTTTACCATCTATGCAGTTACACAAAGTTAAGAAGAAAAAAAGTGGGGAAATGCTTATGGTATAATTTAAGTCACACAAGCTGCAGATGGGACTAGCATATACTATATGATTACAGGTAGGCAAAACTTGCAAAACTAATCTTATGCTTAGGGGGAAAAATGGAAATACAATGAACCAAAATGTTGATATGTGCTGTTTTTGAGTGGTAAGTCTTATGGCTGATTGTTTTCTACTCTTCTCTTTTTTCTGGCTGATTCTTTTGTCTTTTTTCCAAGTTTTCTTTAATTTCTTTAAATGTTTTTTATATAATGAAAAAAAATTGCATTTTGTCTTGGCCTCTAATAGATACAAAAGTGGAATTTTAAATTTGACACCAGTAAAGATTTTCTTTTAAAATGAAAAACTGTTTAGTTCAATGTGATAGCATGTTGCTTGTGCTCTTTAATTAACATCAGCCACAGAAAATGAAGGAGGGGCTGACTTGATTCAGTTGTTTGATCATGCATTGTTTGTGACTCATTTGAGAGATTTGCTGTCACTGGCTTTTGGGTTGGGGAGCCAGCTGTGGCATCCTCAGCAAATGGTTAACTGGAAAACTGAAAGAGAGCTGATGAGAAAATCTGCCTCTCTCCTTTTTTTTTTTGAACAAACAAAATAATCTGAGTAGTTGCTGTGGTTTGCCTGTTCAGAGTCAGCCAGCATTTATTGAACACCTCCTTTGTGCCAACTGGGCAACTCCTGGAGGACTGTTTTCTTTGTCTTGGGTGAGAGGAACACCAGGTCAAATTGACTTCCTTGGAAAATAGACTCTGAAAGATGTTTCCTGAAGTGGGCTGTCAGCTCATGTACCCTTATCACTTCTTCCTGCCCACCATGGACTTCCTTGTTTGATGTCTTTCTCTAAGGAAAATACATAATGTCTTTAGAATGAGGTGCAGCTGTC